CGTTATTAAATCATGATTATTATATTTTTGAATGAAATATATTAATATTTATTAAGACTTCTTTCGTCTAATTTAAATTCTCTTTCTATTTCAGTCCACACCGGTTGGATCGCTACAAACGGGCCACGAAATCGTCGTGTCACCGAATCGCGATCGGCATCCAACAACGTATAAGGTATACATATTCATTCCTTTTTTTTTTCTCTCTCCTTTTCTTTTTAAATCATCTTTCATTCTTTCGGCATGAATGTGTGTAGTTTAGCGGTTTGTGATACGAATAACAGCATGAGATAATAATTCAATTCATGGAGATAATAAATACCAGAGAAATGAGTTGGAAAAAGAATTTTTCTTATCTGTTTCTTTATTTTTTTTTTCTTTTTTCTTTTTTTTTTCTTCATTATTTTTTTTCAACTTTTTTTTTCCAAGTTAGATATGTTTATATATATATATATATATATATATATATATATATATATATATATATATATATCATTTTTTCGATCATCGATCATACGAGCAAAGGCTGCTATTGGAATGATTCTTTTAAAATGAATTTTTCTTTTCCTCGCTACAATTTCTTCTCGGTCATACACGCGTATAGGAGTACGATGATTTTGAAGAGGATGTAGTCCTTATGATGGATCAAGTCCGCGTGGAATTGCAAGGCCACTATGTAAGCCACTTTTGTTGTAAAGTTTGAGTTACTTCTTCGTGCATGATTACTATCTTATCGATAACGCGACACGATTACCTAACTCTCGTAAATATACATGGATATAATTAACGTTTGCTTTGTTTATGGTACAAATGTTCAATGATAACGTTCACGTAATTGAAAATTCTATTTTAATATATTTCTATCGTTTACTGTAATAATCACAACAACAATAATAATAATGAAGTAATAATAATAATAATAATAATAATAATAATAATAATAATAATAATAATAATAATAATAATTATAATAATAATAATAATATGCACGAAGAAGATTAAAAAACAATGCTCTTAGACAAGTGGTATTTAGAATTGAAAGCCTTTGCGGTATCATGCTTGATGTATTATGTACATTCGATACGACCTATCCTATTGCTAATAGTAGATATTGTTTGTTGCATTAGAAGTCAATTCTATTAAGCTAAAATCTGATAAGGAGTAATAAAAGTATGATTCCCGCGTTAAATAGCTCCTTTATCTATAATTAATTCAAAGTTATTGGCACACACACATATATATATATATATATATATATATATATATATATATATATATTCGTAATGGATCATTAAAGAAAAAAAAAATAAAAAATAAATAAAATAAATAAATAAATAAATAAATAAAAATAAAAAAGGTATCTTTTAATATGATCGTTCATTAGCATTGATTATCATGAAAGACATACATACATAATTAATTGTTCTCCTCGTACGCCATAATTGTCTATGAAATAATACAATAAAGTGATATTCATACCACATTTGTTATGTCGATCGCTTTTAAAAATAATGCTGACCAGAGTGACGGGTACAGTTAATAGATGATTAGTATAAGCCTTGTATTTGAAGTTTTCCATTAAACAAATTCGCAGTAGAATTCTAATACTATATTTTAATACAATGTTAGCTTTGTTGAAAATTCAAAATAATAGGATTACGAATCTATTTTTATTGAGTAATCTTTTTTTCTTTTCTTTTCTTTTCTCTTCTTTTTTTTTTTTCTTGTTTTCTTTTTTTCCTTTTTATAAATTTTCTCATGGTGATATCAAGATGATTCGATATTGTAATTAAAGAAAGTTTCGAAGAATGAAGATTTTCTTGATAATTTCTAGACACGTTTATAGGCGCGTAAATATATACAGTCATATCATAGACACTTACACATACACGTACACATACATTTCGGATTGTATTATCTATAATTGAAACTTTTCTTCTATATCATTTCCATCGGATGGCTTAACGCGTTGCAATCGCAATATTTTCGTGCTTGTGTTCCTTCAGGACGCGGCAGGTGGAGGGGTGGGAGGCGGGGGCGTAAAGGGGGTGGGAACCACATGGCCAGACGCAGTGAAGCAATCAGGAGCCGGTGGTACATTGACACCTGCTGATAGGCATGGTTCCGTTCAGGTGAGTCCGACCTGCATTCTCAGGGACCTTTCATTCTTTATCTTTTTCAACTATTCTTTCGAATTTCTTTCATATCTCTTTTATTTTCTTTTTTTTTTTTCTTTCCTTTTTTTTCTTTTGTTTTTCTTTTCTTTTTTTTCTTCGTCAGAATTCATATTCTTAACACTACGTTCTTTGCGCATTTGTCAAATTTTCATTTATATACCAACACACACAGATAGACTCACACGATTCTCACTTTTTATAATAATTTTTCTATAAAAATTAATATAAAGACGATTAAGGTTTTTGAAATAATTCTAATTACTAGGTAAATCTATATTCATTTCATATTTCTTTTCTCTCTCTCTCTTTCTCTCTCTCTCTCTCTCTCTCTCTCTCTCTCTCTCTCTCTCTCTCTCTCTCTCTCTCTCTCCCACCTCATCTTCTCAGTGTTAGAAAGAAATATGTCAATCTATCGGAAATAAATGATTCATTTTATTTTTAGACAAAGCAACAATGGATTATGGTCAGTTAGAAGTCTATGCAATTTGGTTTGTTGCTGCATGTTGTCTATGTCTCGTTAATCGACTCACTTATTTTCGTTCTATTCAACATTATAAACACTAATCCAACATTTAGATAGTAGACGTTCCTTTTTTTTTTTTAATCCATTTAAAACATCGTATTCTCGATTGTATTCTCTATGTATCAACTATCTATCTCTTTATAATTAAAAAAAGTGCTACGTTTATTATTACCTTTCCTTATTTTTTATCTTCTTTCTTTCCTTTTTTTTTTTTTTTTCTTTTAGAAAATTGGCTTATTCCTAACTGTGCATTCCCCTTTCGTCTGAATCACTTATGTGCTTTTAATTTTTATATTATTATTTTTTTCCTTTTCCTTTTTTTTTCTTTTTTTCTTTTTTTCTTTTTCAATATCTACAGCACAATTATGTATATATTATATTCGAGTAAAATGCAAATTTGCTTACTTGATTATTATAGTTATCATTGATTAATATTTTAGTTGTTTATAGAAATATATTATATATTATATATTATGTACAATGTATGAAAATCATGTTTATGTTTTCTGATATTTGAAAATATACCACACGAACATATATACATATATATATATATATATATATATATATATATATATATATATATATAAATATATATATATATATATGTTTTATATATATTTATATTTGATAATTTTTATCCCTTGAGACTTATCTAATAATGAAAATGTTAATTGTTAATAGGTTGTTTCGTCGACGAACGGAGAATTGGCTAATGATGATCCAACTGCGGGTCATTCTAACACGCCAATTACCGCACCACAAGAAGTGGATATGATCGATGAAACCAAGTTAGTATTACATTTAAACTACTTATATTTACATTGTCGTTCAAACATCCTTTTTTTTTTTTTTATAATGTTTACTAAAATTCATATGTATCATTTAAATGTATATGTAGTTTAGTAGTGATTATTATACGCTTTATGGATTATTTATCTAATAAAATTAATATATTTATTAATATATAAAAAAATATTAACATATTTAATATATAAATTAAACTTAATATATTATAGTTTTAATGTGTGTATTTAATAAATTTATTTTTATATACTTTTATATGATATCACTGGTAGTAGCTAATGCCAAAGATTGCTATAGATTTTTATGTTGATCGTTTGTTTGTTTGTTTGTTTGTTTGTTTGTTTTTTTCTTTTTTTTCTTTATAGTTGCTAAACGTATATATATATATATCTATGCTTGATAGGATAAAAAATAAAAAAGAAATATTTTTGTTTGCACGTTAGAGAAATTAAATTTAAATTTATATTGAAGGATATAATTGTTTAAAAAGTAAAAAAGAAAAAGAAAATATGAAAAATCTTCCATCTATCTTTCAAATATTTTTTTTTTTTTTTTTTTCTTTTTTTTTTTTTTTTTTTTTTTATTTATCCGTCATCTTTAATATCTTATGTATTTATCGATTAAAGAAAAGCACGTTAACATTTTACATACATTTCTGCTATTTTCAGAAAGAAAAGTTTACCGGCAGAAAAGTATTGTCCTCGATGTGGAAAATTTACCCTGCACAAATATTTGCAAGTTCCTACGTCCACAGCCAATCCAAAATCCATTCCCGAATTTGATTTGTTATCTCGATTTAACTGGCCGATGCAGGTTTTTCTTTTAAATAATATCAAAACAAAATATGATCTTCCTTAAACGTTAAAAAAGAAAGAGAAAAAGAAAAAAAAAAGGAAATCATTTATTTATTTTTGTCAATGAATAATTAATTCGTCAAAATATTTTGAAAATATTTATCTTATATATTTCGTTATTATATTTTCATTTAATATGCTCTCACTAATCTCATTAATTCGTTATGGTTAATCTATAAAACTAAACATTATTAATCATCCTGTAATAATTTTATTTTATAAAATCGCATTTGTATTATAACAAATATTTTCTCTTCGATACATTCTGTACTGTTTTCTGAAATATTTTCTCAACATATAAATACGTATATATTGTGTATATATATATATATATATTCTACGAAAAAGAGTACAGGACAAGAGAGTCCAGGAAGCTAAAATCTTATTACTAAAAATATTATTGTAAATCATCGCGAAAAAGATTGTAATGAGAAAAAGTGATAGCATTACTTCGAAGATATATGTATATTAAATAAAAAAAGCCAGTTCAATTGACGACGCTTGGAATGCCAAATGTGTTTTATGCTGCATGTCAGTGTCACAATGCTCTAAGCTCAAAGGAAAACGATTCTAAGTCCTATTAGTGTTTGCTTCATTTCCAGATGCTGTTGCTTCTTCAAGCGGAAGAAGAAGAAAAGTGGAAGGCAGAAATAACTGTCCGATACCGTCGGTATTGGGCGGTCAGTACAACAGTGCGCGAATAATAGTGCTGATGGATTTGGAGATCGAGTCCCTGGAACGGCGAGAATCTGCAAAGGCGGAAGAGACGGCGGGAAAGGTGGAGGCGAAGATGGAGGTGGAGGTGGAGGTGGTGGTAGTGGTGCTCAAGATAGAGATACTACTACAACTACTGCTGCTGCTGCTGCTGTTGCTGTTACTGCTGTTACTGCTATTGCTACTGTTGCTAGTACTACCGCCGTTACTACCGTCGCTGGAGCCACTGGAGATCCTGAAAAAGAAGTTATCACTCTCCTACGTGCTGGAAGTCGATCGGCTTCGAGAGATTCGGTGCTGCATACCAACGTCACGTTGACACCCACGCCGACTCCGCCACCGTTTTCAAATTGAGCCACCACATAGCCATTATTATTGCTGCTATTATTATTATTATTATTATTATTATTATTATTATTATTATTATTATTATTATTATTATTATTATTTTCTTCCTCTTTTTTTTTATTGTCGACATCTCCAATGATTTTGCCTTTTCCATTTACTTGTACGGTTATTAATTATTAATTATTAATTATTAATTATTAATTATTATTATTCATTATTATTATTATTATTACCTTATTATTAATATTATTATTGCTATTATTATTATTAATATTATTATTAATATTATTATTATAAAGCACCATTACATACACATTGCCATCATTGTCGTCGTTATCGTCATCATCATCGTCATCATCATCGTCATCGTCATCGTTATCATCGTCATCATCATCATCATCATCATTAATAATAATATCTCCGGTCAACGTACATTTATTATGAACTTTGTTATCAATGTTGTCAGTGCTGACTGAGAATAGCCACAAGCCGTCGGCTCTCTGACCATTTCAATAGAGATAAGCGGTCATCCACGTGTGTGTAGGAGTAAGGAATTGACGTACCGAAGGTGAAAAGAATGCGTTTGTGCCTACGACTCTCTTCTTGTATTGCGAGTGGCATTGTTTATATACGCCGTTAATATAATGATATGTGAACGTGTCACGATTGATCATTATTATTACGTATTTAAAATCTCGTCACAAAGTGAGAAATCAATGCTGAGCTCTCTCGTTGTAATGGGAAACCTGAAAATTATCGAGCGTAGCGTATTTCTCGTAATGAAAATTTACATTCGTATGAAGTCTGATTATAAATGCGAAAGGCATGAAACTGAAATACGTTAGCAACAGCAACAACAGCAGCAGCATTAACATCCTACTTCAATAATTCCTAGATGCACTGAACGGAGTGAAAATAATATATATATATATATATATATATATATATATATATATATATATATATATATATGTACACACACATACATATACACATACACAAATGAGAGAAATTTTTTTTCGTTTGTTTTTATAGCAATTGAAGGAGAAATATATAATGCGTTGTATTGAAAGAATAAACGTAAACGTGTAACTTAACTGGATATGCCAATTCCTTTTGTAAAATTACTAAATATATTTTTCAGGTCTGGATCTTCCTTCCTGTTGTATAAAAATAAAAAAAAAAAAAAGGAAAGAAATTTTTCCTGAAATATTGAATAATCAATATGCTTTGGTAGGATTTTATATTAAATGATTATAACTTAAATTTCGTATATATATATATATATATATATATATATATATATATATATATATATATATATATAGAGAGAGAGAGAGAGAGAGAGAGAGAGAGAGAGAGAGAAAGATTAAAAATGGAAAGTAAAAATACTATACACATAACATATAATATTATTCATTAATAATATGAAGCTCACACAAATACACAAATATTAAATTATATATAGGCAACTCCACGAATCCGTCATTATATTCGAATATTTTATAAATATGTACAAAGATATATATATATATTTATATATATATATATTCCAAGTAAACAATTTAACAAGTTGTATGTGTGTTCGAAAACGATACGCGATCATTTATGTTTAATTATAAACAATTTTCATAGGCTTTACTCATCCATGTCAAATAAACCGTGGGCATTTTAATTATTATATATTCATTTTTCTATATGTTCTACCTGATTTTGTTTTCATTTATGACTCTCTTTAATATTGTGTGGCGAATGCTTTCAAGAGATAATTATTGTTGTGTATTTATAAATGAATTGAAAAAAAAAAAATTGTACTTTTTATAAAAGCATATTCGTAGAGATGGATGGGAAATGAATATAAATTTATCATTTTTCTTTTTCCCTCCAAATAGAATGTTTGAAAAGAATGGTAGGAATTCGTGCACTTAGGAATTTGTGACTGATTTGTGGGATGTGCTGCGTTATATAAACTGTAATATAAAAATCACTAGTATATCATTTGTATCTATGGATATTATTTCTTTGATATATACACTGCCTGCCAATTTTCTAAATAAAAACACGATAATATACCCTA